AAAGATTCAAATACCCACACCCGAAAACCTTCCTCCTTCGCCACTACTGCTTCATCCTTCACTGCCACCACCGCCACTGCCTTTGCTTGGTCATTGCACGATTATGAAGTCATCTCCTTCTTTGTAGACAGCCAAAAGATCTAGTCTCACTCACYTATGAACGGGTTGTGCTCGGGAAAGAAGTAGAAGAAGAACYGAAGATGAAGAATCGGAAAAGAGGAAGAAGTAGAAGAAGAATAAAAAGTAGAATTAAAGAGATTTTGGTATTTGAGGTTTGGTGGAGTCTTTTCCTATTCCCTTTTAGGTTTTCAAGGCACTAATTGCATGCAATTACTTTGCCATCTTGCATTTACTTTGCCATCTGGCAGGCAAGAGTGAAATAAATTCTTTTATTTAAGTTAATTTATGATTTAAGTTTTATTTAATTTTAGTATTCTATTTAACCACTAATTTTATTAATATCTTATTAAATTAAAATTTTTTATTTTACTTAATTATTTAAGTTAAAATTTATTTGTACATTAAATAGATTTATAAATATTTTTATTTTTAATACATAAAATTGCTATATATAATATTTATTTATTATTTTATTAAGTGCGCCTCACTTCACTCAGGCGACGCCTTTTTGTCGCCTCTCGCCTTAAGGCGATAACAAGGCTCGTCGCCTTGAGGTGCGCCTTGCGCCTTGAAAACACTAGGCACAATACAAAATCGCAGCTAGGGTGCTTTCCAAATCTTTTAGGAGAGAACTTTTGGTAAAGGTACCATGAGCTTCCCCAAATGCCGAACAATGAAATCTCTGTTTGTTGATAGTTTAGTGGAGGATCATTTGTGAAGAAGGGGTTGTTTCCTTTTCTTATAACACAATGTATTTATAATAAAAAATCTTGTTGACAAGTACTATTTACGATCATATAATGTTAAAGGCAAGACTCAGACATTTGATAGGCAGTAGGCCCCCAATCATTAACGTGTGTAAGAGGAAACATGTGAACTACATATATATATAGTTCATTGAGGGAAGGGGATTCATGCTTTTGCTTAGAATATAGTAATTGGGTAGGAGGAATCTCCCTATGAGTATCTCGATTTCCCTCTGATATAGTGATCAACATCAATGGTACAAAAAATAAAATGATAGACAGTTTCAACGGGGGGAGGGAAAATTAACTTTAATTCCATTAACCATCCATTCGAAACTCTCACACATGATAAAAGAGAGATACTAAGATACTCAAAGAGATGTGAAACTGCAGATGTACCCCAACTACTAAGTTAAAAGTGGAATATGACAAGAAAGTAGAAAAGAGACTTGCCTTGATCAGTAGTGGTGTGGGGTACAAGAAGCCCATTTTTGTTTCCTGCAGTAAGGAATATAAGAAAATGAATTAACTGACATATTAGATCAACCCTGCAAATAAGTATTTTGGGCCTCACATCATGAATGCGTGCCTTCTACAAGATGCGGAAAACAGTAGACAAACCAGCACAGAGGCGGCCAATAATGCGAGTGCCATCAATGGATACTTTAACAACTGGAATGAGACCACCCAATTCAGCCTCAAAGGCACTATACAATGCACACAATTAGTGAGAAATTGCTTCCAGTTCCATTTTATAAAATTAAAAATAAAATATGGAAACATGGGAAACAAAAACCTGTAGAAGTTCTCAGAGCCACCAATTGCAACCAAACAGTAAGCATTAGTGAGTTTGGAGAAAACCCCAACTTCACATGAGTTCTCAAACATCAGCCCTAAAGGAAAAAAGCATGTGAGAAATGATGGTAGTTCGCACAATCCAGAAGAAAATTCTAAAAAAAAAAGGTATAATGAAAGACTTGGTGAGACTTACTCGTTGCCATGAGTTGAAGGTAACTTTGATCAATGATCAATGATCAATCAACAACTTCCTTGCCCTGCATAGTAAAAGGAAGTTAGACAGGCCCCTCGCTGAAATTTTTTTTGTAAGAAAAAGAAAAACAAAACCTCAGATCACTGTATGGAAATGGCTTGCCACGAAGGCGACGGCGGCAGCGGCGGCAGAGAAAATCAGAGGGAGGGAGGGAGAAGAAGGGGGGCGGGGGCTGGCTGAAACAACAAAGGCTAAAATTATATATAACTTCAATGAATAAAGGGGAAAATAGGGTTCTTTGGGGGGTTTATTATTATTATTATTATTATTATTATTAATAGGGCAAAATATATATTTACCTTGAGATTTGAGTTAGGTGTCTACTTGCCCCGTTAATTAACTAATATTATAACGACGTGGCAAATTGCAATCAAATTATTTATTGTAGTTGCTGATGTGACAAACTATATTAATCAAATCATATATGTTCGATATGAATGGCGTACGGCGACAACAAATACGCGATGGTCGTCGGAAAAAGGGTAAGAGAAAGAGAAAGGAAAAGATGAGAAGAGGAGAGAGAAAGCAACTCGCTACACATATATTATTTAATTAATATAATTTATGACATCAGCAATTGCAATAAACAATTTAATTGCAATTTGTCACGTCATTTTAATATTAGTTAATTAACAGTAAAAAAAAAAGACCACGAGGGACCAATTAGACACCTACCTCAAACAAGCAAAAATGTTCATTTTGAAAGAGCCAAAAATGTATTTATTATCATGTTTGGTAATTCACTTTAAAAACCCTAACATCCTTTCATGTTTTGGAGAAAAAAAAGTAAAATGTTAGGTGGAAAAAAATGGATCACCCACCAACATCTAGGCACAAAAAGAACATAGAGACCAGAAAAAAAAATGGTGCACTAACATGAATAAAAAGCCAAAACTAAATTAGAAAAATAACATAAGAAACAGCGGATGTGAGAACCAAAACAACATCTCAACTAAATCACGAGTGACCATTTTTTTTTTCATTTTACAAAATTACCCTAATTTTAAAAGCTTTAGTAAAATATTTATATTCTATCAAGAGAAATAAAGAGACGAGTTGGTAAGAACGTCAAGGGGTGGACTAAAAGATTTCAAATGAAGTATAGAGAAAACTACTAGTGAAGAAGATTAAGAGTATGTAGAGTCAATAGTGCCTACTAAAATAAAGGGAAAATAGAAGACCTCGTACTCGTGGAAGGTAACATATCGGCCAACGAGAAGCAACGATAACCGGTGAGAATAATGTATCACACCCCTACTAGAATCTAAAAAACAAGCATGAATCACATATCATACGGCTTGCAAGCAAAATCCCCAACACTATCATTGGTCTCCACCAATGCTTACCGTCCACGTCACCAACAGATATGCTGACGTGATTGCTGGAAAAATGAAATACAACGTCATAACAAATGCAATGAGTTGGAGTTCAATTATGCTTACAGATTTCATTACTCTTATAATCATGGCTATAATGTTTTATTTCTTTATGTTGGTCGCAGAGCCACTCTTTTACCATTGAGATTCGATTTTGACACTTGTTTTAGCCTTTTTCTTTTGACGATTCGCTATATTAGTTTATAGAGATAAACAAGCCAAAGCAACATGCATCGATAGTGCCTATTTCGTTCCATTTTAACATAAACAAAAGAAATGCAGCCTTCACATTTGCACCTCTTTTCAAGTCTTTTGATCTTTTTAACTTTTAGTTTTGGAGTTTATGATTTCAATTGACGAAATTATTAGCTTACGATTTTATCTAACTCAACTTACAAAGTTTAAGGTTTAGGCTTTTTTCGATTCAACAATATCTTTTGGTCGAAAATATATATCTTAATCAGTTGATCTATGATCAGATTGACATTAGTTTAGGCTTGCAAAGTTCAAAGGTATAAATGGACTTTCTCCCAAAATATTAAATACATATTACTCACTCAATACCTCTACAAATTTATATGTTTCCAATACATGCCCACTTATTTTTAACATACTCAAAATTATGTGATCAATTTATTAAAAATAAAATAAAGAAAAGGACAAAATAATTATCATTTTTAAGTTTGGGAATTAAATTAGATATTTTGAAAGTTTAGAGATCTAAATTTAAAAATTTTAAAAACCAAAATTAATCAAAATAAAAAAATCTTGAAAAATTAGGAACCAATATAAAGTACATTTTCACAATTTATGGGAATAACAAGTTAGTTAATAGTTTTAGAAATTATCATATTAGTGGAATAAAGCTTAAGTATTTTAATTAATAATACATGTCAAATCAGTAGCGAACAATTTGAGAGCTGGTTGCAAAATTATCCAAAAAAATGGTTCTCGTTTAATTCTTTTAATTCTCGTTTCTAGTTTTTATTTGTTTTGTTTCGTTAAAAAAATGCAACTACTCTTGTCCGTCCAACTTGTAAAGGCGTATTTGGTTGGTGATATGAAAACATAGAAGGATATGTTGGGAATTAGTATGGAGCCAAATTTTAATAGAAGTAATGAAGGAGCTTAATGGCCTAAGTACAAAAAGCCCAAGTGCCCAACACTTTCCCATTGTTATTAATTTGTGTGCCACCTCTTCACTTTTGCGTGCCTTCCTTTTTATCGAGAGAGTGAGAATTTTTTTACAGAGCAGGAGGCCATTTTCGAGGGAGCCATTCTCTAAGCTTTACAGAGAGCTCATTGAGAAATTTTTGTCCAATCACCATTGAAGAGTTTTAGAAGCTTGTAAGAGTGATTCGTGAGCATTTTTCTTTGAGAGAAAAGTGAGAGAAATCATTGTGGAGCGTTTGTAAACTCTTGAAAATTCTTCTAACATTTAGTGGAACCTGCAACGGTAGCAGAGAACTGGACGTAGCCCACATTGGTGAACCAGTATAAATCCAGTGTCGATTTCTCTTCCCTATATTTTATTGTTCTTGTTGCATGAGGTTTAGGTTGATTTATCTACTCTTTGAGCATACTTCCGATTTGATTTATTTATGTTATAATTGGAACCAGACCCTGATCTGGGATTAGTTAGCATATATTGTCTGGAATTGTGATTGAGATAATATTTGTTAGCTTGTTTTATCCCTAACAAGTGGTATCAGAGCGATGTTGAAGAACAATGGCAGGGGGCGACAAATTGGTCACTTTTAATGGCTCGGATTTTTCGTTTTGGAAAAATCAGGTATTAGATTATTTGCACGAAAATCGGATGATATGGGAGAAAAAGAATGGAAGAATTTGGACAGGAAAGTGTTGGGTACGATTCGCCTGACATTAACTAAAAATGTTCAGAGCAGCGTGGCGAAGGAGACGACCATAATGGGGTTGATGAATGCCCTGGCTAACATGTATGAAAAACCTTCGGTAAATAATAAGGTGTATCTTGCAACTAAATTTTTTAATTTGAAAATGGCTGAAGGTACACCTATTACTACCCATTTAAATGAGTTTGACGCGTTGATTAATAAACTGGTAGCTGTTGATTTAGAATTCAGTGATGAATTTTATGCTATTTTGTTATTAAGATCTTTGCCTGATAGTTGGGAACCCATGCGAGCTGCTATTTCAAATTCTTGTGGGAAAGAGAAAATGAAATTTGAAGATGTTAGAGATGCAGCTCTTGCAGAAGAAATTCGCAGGAAGGATTCTGGTATCGCTCCTACTTCTAGTTCAGTATTGAATGTGGCTAGAGGAAGAAATAATAACAGAGGTTATGGGAATCGAGGCAAGTTGAAAAACAACAGAAGCAAGTCGAGAAACAACAGGTTTGAGTGTTGAAATTGTGGTAAGACTGGACACTTGAAGAGGAATTGCAAGGTCCCGAAGAAAAATGATGGGAACGAAGCCGGTGCTAATGTTGCTGAGCAGATACATGGTGCTCTGGTTCTTGCAGTTAAGAGCGCTTATGACACATGAGTGATGGATTCAGGTGTGTCTTTTCATACTACAGGACAACGTGACATTCTTGAAAATTATATTGCAGGAAATCATGGAAAAGTCTATCTTGCCGATGGAGAGCTTTAGGATATCATTGGTATCGGTGACGTGAATTTAAAAATGGCGAATGGTTGAGTTTGGAAAATTCGCAAGGTACGTCATGTTCAGAATATGATGAAAAACTTGATTTCTGTGGGGCAGTTGGATAATGAAGGATGTGAAATATCCTTTGGTCAAGGAAACTGGAAAGTTACAAAGGGTGTCATGGTGATTGCTCGAGGAAGCAAGTCAGTAACTTTGTATGTCAACAGCAATGATAAAGACATAGTGGCTGTTGTAGATCATTCAAGATATACTCAATTATGGCATAACAGACTGAGACATATGAGTGAAAAAGGTATGAAAATTTTTCACTCTGCAAGGAAGTTACAGGGACTTAAGGCAGTTGACCACAAACTGTGTGAAGGTTGTGTATTTGGGAAGCAGAAGCGTGTCAGTTTCTCAAAAACAGGTGCAGCACCAACGTCTACGAAATTTGAGCTAGTTCACACTGATGTGTGGGGCCATCTGAAGTTTTTTTCTGTTGGAGGTTCCAGATACTATGTGACCTTTATAGATGACTAAAGCAGGAAGGTATGGACTTATTTTCTCAAACATAAGTATGATGTATTTTTTGTTTTCAAAACTTGGAAAGCTATGGTTGAGAATGAGACAGGTCTGAAAATTAAAAACTTGAGGTCAAATAATGGTGGTGAATATATTGATGGGGAATTTAAAAAGTATTGTGCAGACAGTAGAATTGTGATGGTAAAGACTAGTCCAGGGACACCACAGCAGAACGGTGTGGCAGAGAGAATAAACAGGACGCTGAATGAGCGTGCCAGGAGCATGAGATTACATGCGGGATTGCCTAAGATGTTCTGGGCAGAGGCAATCAACACTGCAACCTATCTGATCAATAGGATTCCGACCACATCACTAGACTTCAAATTTCCTGAAGAAGTCTAGAGCGATAAACAGGTAAACCTTTCTCATTTAAAGGTTTTTGGCTGTGTATCTTACCTTCACATTGATGCTGCAGATAGGAGTAAACTGGATGCTAAATCCAAGAAGTGTTATTTTCTTGGTTATGGCGGAACTGAGATGGGCTATAGGTTTTGGGATGACCAAGACAAGAAAATTATTAGAAGCAAGAACGTGATCTTCAATGAGGATGTTTTGTATAAGGACAGAGCAAATGATAAGTCTGAAAAGTCAGAGTCAGATGAAAGT